TGGTAAGGATACACAGGTTTTTCTTTCTTTACCTAAGAAAATAGATCTACTCATATCTTATTTCCTCTAGTATCTTTTTTATGGGTAAAATTTGAGTTGATTAAAGTGGATATAACTCAAACAAAGAAAGATCAAAGATAAATCACATCCCGCAATGAGCAGTAATTATGATATAACATCTCTAAAAACAAACTTTTTTTTTCTGTGTGAGCATGTCCACCCCCCTCCCCTCCCCCRCCAGCACCAGAAACTTTGACCCAAAGTTGACATCTGAAGTATTCTTTGTCTGCTACCCTCTTCTCCTAACCTTGTATTTCATGTATGTATACAGGATTGGCATTCTGATGATGAACCATCTCTTGGATCACAACCAGTGATTGCTTCATTGTCATTTGGTGATACAAGGAACTTTGAACTTAGAAAAAAGCCGCCTCAGGTGAGAAGTCTTAATACCACCACTCATGAGCTGTATTATTGGAAAAGTCAGGAAAACCTCAATATTATTACCATCTATGGGCTTTTTTAAGCGACAGCCATTTTGGTTTGAACATTAGATTCTGTCACATGAAGATAAACATGGCCGCTGTGGGATAATGAATTGAATTAATAATAATGAATGAGAGATTGCAAGGGTGCATTTATGGGCAGGGGGAGGTTGGGTGAGTAGCCATCCTACTTTGAAGTCCAAAAATAATGATAATTAATAAATAACAGATATACACTTATTTCAATAAAGTAAGTCACCTGAAAAGCTACAAAGCTGATACTGGCAAGGATTATGGGTAGATACATTTTACATGTTGCAAACACTTGATAACTGTTGATGGACTTGAGATCTTTTACCAGTTACAGTCTCACCTCCTCTGAGCATCCTCAACTACTGCAGTTTGTGTCAAAAGCTTTACTTGTTGGATATAAAACATTTTCTCATGATTCTCAGCGATCACAGCTTTATAGGTTTTTGGTGACTACCTTTATTGAAATAAGTATATGCCACTTTGAAAAGGTGAGACAGAGAAGCAATAAAAAGAATGAGATGAAGGGAAAACTTGGGAAAAAAGTGGGAAGGAAAATGGAAGAATGAGAACAGAGTGAAATACATTTTAATCTTTTGACTCTAGGGAGAAGACTTTTCTGTTGTACAGCATATTAGGATTCCTTTACCAAATGGAAGTCTCCTCATAATGAAAGGAGCTACACAAGACGATTGGCAGGTAAGGGTTGACTGTACAAGGGTGAGACAGTTGGGGGAATTAGAAAACAAAGATAATCTTAGAAAAATAATAGTCAATAGAATTCTTTTATGAAAGAAGTTACAGTGTGTGGCCCTTAAACTTGTGAAGCTTGTTGTGTGTTCCGGTCGAGAGATAAGGGTGAGCAATCCATCGCAGTCAAGAAAAAAATACAAGCATATATACAAATGAATTTATTTTGTCACTTAGAAATAATGATTCTCTAACTTCCTTATGATACGAAATTTTTGCGGCGTGTTATTTTCGCGATTTTATTGAATAAATCATTCGTAATAGACGACTTGCACTAACAGTTCACGTGACCCCACCCCTTAAAACGAGCGAATGTGTCTAAATGAACACCATGAATGCAAAATGTACCTGGCCTTTAGTAAGAGGGCGAAGTTTCAGCTCAAAATGTTGACTAAAGAAGAAATGACATTAAATATAAAATCAAATATTTTACAAGGATTTGTATGGGAAAAGTGTTGGCTGGTTAGCTTTTGCCATCCAGCACATTTTCCCATACAAATCCTTATAAAACATTCAATTTTATATCTAATACCATTTCTCCTGTTTCGCTTATTATGAGCGGAAACTCCGCCTCCCTACTAATGCCGAGATACTCTCTTCATTTCTGTTTTTTATTTTCACACAACTGCTCGTCTTAGGGGAGGTAGGTTGACGTGACTTGTTAGTGTAAGTCGTCTATTCGTTTCCAAATATGCACGAATTCCTTAAACAAAACCACTTTATTCTTGGTTTGCAATCAATCCCAAGAGAGCACAATAACAAAAGGGATGTCCGCCATTTTGGGAAGATATAACAAAAGAATTTATTGAAAAATCTTTTGTCAAATTCTTCCAACATGGCGGCTATGACGTCTATTGCAAACGAAGAACTGGGTTCTGAGAAACATTAAAATTAACAATAAATAATAAAAATTTCGACTTTTTGAAATCTTGAAACCTGCGAAATYAAAGTGTCGCGTAATATAACATCTTATAACGAAACCCTCGTTACATTTGCTAATAAAGTCAAATAAAATATTTCGTTTCAGCATCGAGTACCTAAAGAATATCACCATCGCGATCCAAGAATAAACTTAACATTTCGAAACATCTTGCCGTCTGAATCGCAAAAGACATTATGAGAATATCAGAAATAAATAGTTTTTGGGTATCCTTTAACAAGTGAAAACGAGAGAAAACTGGAACATTTGTACGAAAGGAATTGTATTCTGCGTTATGTCTTCGCATCGTTGTATCTGACGTTAACAATTGCCATATAGGGATTGTATAATTCATTTGCAGAAGCGTCTAGAGAGAGATGCATCCTTGTCATACCTCGTGCTGTCGGCCATTTGGGCCATTCGTTTGACGTGTTGGAAAGAAAGGAAGGAAGGAAGGAAGGAAGGAAGAAAGAAATCCAACTTCTTATTCGTTTAATTACTTGCGCATTGCTTTTTTATAACATTCCTGGTGGATAGACCATATTATTATTTTTCTAATAAAGAACCACATGTTGGACATCGGGGATTTTGCGTCGACATTATTTTTCGAGTCCGCGGCGTGGAAGGCATTGATGAAAAAGATATACCATTTGTATCTCGTGACTCTGCCCATACTGCTTCGATGTTTGTTGTCTGTGGTGGATTGGGATCGATTTTCCTCGACTTGAAGAAAGAGACAATCTGTCTTGAAATGTGCGCYAACGCTTCGCGGGCCTGGAAGAAAAGAAAAAAAGCGTTCTTTTTAGTAGCAAAGGAAAGTAGTAAAAAGATGTCTCCAGATCTAAGACGGTCTAGCACGGTCGTGACACGGCAAGGCATAAGCCAGACCAATCACATTGCTCGAGAATTTACTCTCCATCCAATCAAATACCTGGAACACGGAATAAATACGGCGCGGACACAGTCACGCTGAGGTCACGGCTCTGCCAGACCAATCAAATTGCGCCACAGGTAGCCCAAGTTTGRTTTCTGTGGTGTCATGTTATAAGAAGGAAATGTATGGGGATTCATCAAAAATTTCAATAAAATCATTGAAACGTGAAATAAAACCTCGAAATTTTACCCGATCATTGAGAAATAAATCCTGGTTCACACGAGCAACACAAACGCAAACGCAAACGCAAGGAATGGAAAATTTTCCATTTTCTTGTGCTTGCGTTTGTGTTTGCGTTTGCGTTTTTAACGTGTGAACCGGAGAAAAGGCAAACGCAAGCACAAACGCAAGACGTGGTTTACACGAGCAACGCAAACGCAAACGCAAGGAAAATACGTGTGAACTATAAACAATCACTACTGCGCATGCGTATCTTAATTTACTTGCATTTGCGTTGTACGTGTGAACATTGCTTGCGTTTGCGTTTGCGTTTGCGTTTGCGTTTGCGTTTGCGTTTGCGTTTGCGTTTGCGTTGCTCGTGTGAACCAGGCTTAACACTTCTTTTGCTCTGTGTGGTTATTTTTTGAATTGAGACCGTTTTAAGGATTTTTCCCCCACCAGTAAGAAATTCTTTATTTCACGTTTCAATGATTTTATTGAAATTTTTGATGAATCCCCATACACTTTCTTATAACATGACACCACAGAAACCAAACTTGGGCTACCTGTGATTGCGCGAGAGAAAAAAATCAGCCAATTAAAATTCTAGAAAACTTAACGGGCACGGCACGCTTGCGGCACCGCTATACTTACAGCCGAAACATTTCTCTCATGGTTGTGGTAGTGTTTTGGTAGTGCTATAAAATACGTGTTTTCTCTTTGAAGTTCCTTAGTATCGCGTGTCCGTAATAATTTTCGTCTAGAATTGAGCAGTTCTTCCTACAAAAAAGRAAAAAAAAAACCAAAAACGAAATGAAATGTGAGGCCCATAAGAATCATTTATTATTATACCCCTTGCAGGTTTCCAATAGCCCGCTTCCGAGATATGCTTCGCTTGACACGCACAAAGGTTTCAGTATGAGGCTACGTGCTAAATGCTCAGTCATCCGTGACAGGCGGTAAGAATAAATTTAATTTAGCACGTAGCCTCATACTGAACCCTTTGTGCATGACAAGCGAAGCATATCTCGGAGGTGGGCTATTCTCATGAGATTGAAATTCGTTTTGTCCTCCAAATTAGCTCCTTTGACGTCATACGCAAGGGGTCTTTTTGACCATATCCTAAAGCACTTTACAATAACTTATGTCTTGGAAAGATGGAATGATGTGTAGTGTCGTTTCTTCTTGTCACCCTTTATTCCCTTGCCATTGAAAAAGGTYGCAGACATACGCAAAGCTATTGCGTTCCTTGAAAGTAAGAAAACAGAATACACCGTTCTCATAATGGCTGAAGAGGTCACCCAGTCATCTTGCAAGGCTGAGGCAAGGCTGCTCATTCAAAATAAAGGTGGATAGCGCGAATTCAGGTCAAAACAAAAGGTCCGTTTTTATATACTTTTTTCCAACCTCATCCTCAGGGCCCTCTCTCTCCTCAACGTGAAAGGGCCCTGGGGACGAGGTTGCTTTACTTCTATAAACGCATTTCATGTAATTTTATATTTATTGTGAACTTATGACTGGGTGACCTCGTTTTCGTGCACTCGTCAGCCATAAGAAAGGTGTATGGACTAAATAGTGTAGACCATGTGTCACTCCCTTGAGAATAAGATTCCTTATTTCAGTTGTATCCATATTCGTGTTTCTTCTAATGTGGAACCGTCAAACAAAGAAATATTACTCAAGGGAATGACACGCGGTCTGATATGGAAAAACATTGGATTAGGTCTATTCATTCTTACCATGCAGCTAAAGTCAGCTGGACCTACGCCTGCAACAATAATGGACAGCGGTAGTGTTGAGATTTCAGCGAGTTTATTTATGGTTGAGTCGATGTCATTTGCCACGCCATCCATAATCACCAAGGCAACTACATAATACTGAGATTCCTGGGATACTTCTTTCTTGGCATAGTCGGCTATCCTTTCGATGACGGGCGCAAGGTAGGTTGGGCCTCCGAGTTTAATAGTGGATAGAAGATCTGAATAAATGTTGATTAAAGCCTAAGGGAAAAAAGATGATGGCGTGGACTGGTTATTAGTTCAATGGAACATTTAGATTTCTTTTTTCCTATCGATCACTTCAGACCACGTGTCATTCTCTTGAGAATAAGATTCTTTGATTGAGTTGTATCCATATTCATGTGTCTTCTCATGTGCAACCGTTAAACAAAGAAATGATACTCTAGGGAATGACACGTGGTCTGAAATGGGAAACATTACGTCAGACCACGTGTCATTCTCTTGTGAATAGGATTCTTTGTGTGAGTTGTATCCATATTCATGTGTCTTCTCATGTGCAACCGTTAAACGAAGAAATGATACTCTAGRGAATGACACGTGGTCTGAAATGGGAAAACACTACGTCCAAAATAAACAAGGTAAAGAGGTGTCATAACCTTTGAATTTGTCCTCTCTCTCTTAATGATGGTTTTGCATTCTTACCTCCCCCCACAATGGAGTATAGATCTAGTTATGGTTCTTTTACCTCGACTCCTACCACATCCGGGTCTTCTTGTTGTTGGTTCATTGCAAAGCAGTATGGGCCAGGCATGTTCTTGGCGCCAAATCCAAAGGAAGGGATTCTCTTCTCTTGGTCATAGTAAGTAAGGATTGGACCAAGGGCTTCGATTGTACGAATATATTGATTCTGAAAACAAATTGCACATCCAGTAAAATTCATCATCGAAAAACGTCTACAAATAGACTCGGTTCTCGTTCGTAGCTGTTACAAAAAGAAATGATACTCTAGGGAATGACATGTGGTGTGACATGAGAAAACATTACGCCCAAGGTAAAGAGGTCTATTACTGTCTTCTGATTTGCAAATGTTAAACGAAGAAATAATACTCTAGGTAATAACAAGTGGTCTGAAATGAGAAAACATTACGCCCAAGGTAAAGAGGTCTATTACTCTGTCTTCTGATTTACAACTGTTAAACAAAGAAATGATACTCTAG